TAGTTGAACTAATACAATTTACAATAAATCTAGGTATTTACGTATATGTCACGTTTCATAGGATTGAATGATCTATATTATTATCATTTTATCGTGGAATTATGTTAGTTTTATTATTTCGGTGAATTAACCTGGTTAGGTTATATTTTGATCGTCCGCTATTTGCATGGAGATTGCAAAACAGTGCACATAAATATATATATATATATATATATATATATGTATATATATATATAGATAAGTTATCATCAAGGTAACATATGCACTGAGCTGTTTAAATTAGACTACCAGATAAGAGGCGTTTGCTCTAGACATGAAGGCACACTTAAAGAGATGAGTGTCGTTGAGTTAAGTTGTTAATTGAAAATAATAATTTATTATTGTTTTGTTATTGTTAGCTCTCTGTCTGAAACGTAAGGGTTTTTTTAATATAATGTCATAAAAATTTACACGTTATCTATATAAATATTAATATTTTATGTACATATAATATAGGAAGTTTTGTGTGTGCTATTGCTTTATAATTAATTACTAGCTATAAGACACTATTACTATAGTTTAACCTTAAATAGTAATTCTGATCTTAAATATGTACTATGTAAAACTATACCTATATTTTATTTTAATCTTTTATAGAACAGTCAATTAGCAAATTGTCAGAATATGGACACGAATGAATATACGACTAGCGACTCGCTCTCTTTTCGTTTTTTCCCTAGGTTGCTTCCCCATATAAACTTTCATCCCCATTTTCACACCCTTAAGGGATGATTTCCGGGATAAAAAGTATCATATGTCCTTTCCAGGGTCTCAAACTATCTTCTTACCAAATTTCATCTAAATCGGTTCAATAAATCCAGAGATTACCCCCTACAACGTCACAAACTCACAAACTTCTTTGTATATATAAATGATATCCTATGTACTTAAAAAAAATTTTATATAGCTTAATAAAACAATTATTACATCAACCCCATCACAAATTGCCATAATAATAACTGAATGCTTTTAATGTCTAGTGCTTTTTATATATATATATATATAAAAAAAAAGCTATGCGTCCATAACACAATTACGTCGGCAATACTCCCTCCTATAATTACCATCCATAACATGCCCGGCGTAATCTCCCCACAGGATGCCCACTCACATAAACGCCAGTTGCAAACGTTAAATCACTTGTTAAATAATTAAATCAGATTCGGTATTGTTCAGACTTGTGTTATAACAACGATCGCGTCATTCACCGCCATTTAATAGTGTGGGTCGATAACAAAATATATTGTTTATATATTTTTTACGATGTTCTCGATTGCGTCCATTTACGGTTGCATTATCTAATCTGAGGGGTCCTACGGGCCACGGTCGCTTTATTCTTAGGAATGGCATGACTTAATCGGATTACTAATATGCATAATTGCGAAGGTTTGTATGTTTGTGTATGTTTTTTATTCCTTCACGTTGGAAGGCCTGGACGGATTTAGATGAAATTTTGTATAAAGATAAACTAGTGACTCACCCTCGCTTCGTTCGGGTTCGTCCCTATGTATGTATAAAACTAGCAGAACCCGCGGCTTCGTTCGCGCTAAAACTACAAAAAAATCTCTTAAAGGGTAGTTTCATACAAACTTTCATCCCCTATTTTACCCCTTTATAGGATGAATTACAAAAAATGCTAAAACAGGTGTTTATTTAATTTTATTGAAGAGCATTAATACCAAGTTTCAAGTAATTTTGATCATAAATATATTTTTGTATTGTATTATAACGTGTTTTCCTGTGGGAATTAGGTAATCTCCCGCCGTAAAAAGTAACCTATGTCACTCTCCAGCCCTCAAACTATCGCCACACAAGAAGTCACGCCAATCCGTCACTCCGTTTTGACGTGAAAGAAGGACAAACAAACACACTTTCATATTTATAATATTAAGTATGGATATATATAGTTTTACAGTAATGTATGAAAGTCTGCCCGATTTGTTGACATTTATGATTACTGCTCCGCTCTCTTGGGTACTTGTAGTAGCATGATGTTATATAGTCCGTTTATTGAGGAAGGCTATATATACCGTACTCAATAAACGGGCTGGGTAATGCAAATAGATTTTTTCATATCGGATTGGTAGTTCCTGAGATTAGCGCGACCTGATCAGGAATAACAAATAGGTTACTTTTGTGCCCCCTAGGGACTTAAAAAAGTCTAGTTGTATAATAAATATATCTTTTTCAATACGAATTGAACATATATGTCGAAGTTTAAATGTTCCAATATTATCTCAAAAGATTTTTTCATGTCATTCTTATTTTTTTACACAGAGTGAATCTTTAAATACATATTCTTCTACAGTTGTTTTTTTTTTGTAAGCTTAAGGTACGCCAGTTTATTTTTCTTTGTTGCGATGGTACAAGTGCCTTAAGAGTCTGTGTGCTCTCGTTACAGCCAACCATCCTTGAACATATATTTTTTATTTTTTTATTTCCGATGTCTGGCGTTTTAACACTGAGTTTCTAATAATTAACAATAGCTGATTAAAACACGGTACCTACATTACTTTTTCGTTTTGTTATTTCTATATAACTGTTCGCATCGGTATTTTAATATTCAATATTATAATATATGCAAATTAAAAATATATGTATATATTATAATTACATATAACTACAGAATATAATACTTATAGAGTATATTTTTATATGAAATCACCTTTTTATATTAAGAATTTTTAATACGATCGTTTTGTTAAAATCGATAACGCAAAATTGTAAAACGGATTTGGTTTTTTTTTCTCGGAGATATTTTTTTTTTGGCAATTGTGGTGTTAATACTAATGACTTGTTTTTGTGTACCGTAATGTGCTTATATGAAACGTTATGCCGGGATGGTTATGTCACGCGCCTGCGGGGGTGAATGCACTTTGCAAATGTAATGCCATCCTTAGTGTTAAACAAACCTTGGTATTTGTATATATAAATCTATGTTTTACTTCATTCAGTTTGTTGATAAGTAAAAACTTACCTATGACACATTAATTAGTTCAATGTTCAAACCTCAAAAGATTTTGGCCTAAAAGATGAATTGTAATATGGGTCTTTTCAGTTATTATTACTATGAAAATCATGATATAAAAATCTGCAATAAATTTCTGTACTACGACTTTCTCCTTTCTTTCTTACACGACTGGAAAGTAAAATCATTAGTTCTGAGAAGAGCTGGTGACAAACGCCGCGGGATTTAAATTCAGTTGTTTCATCAGTTAGCAATAAAACATAACTACATATTATAAAATAATGTCCTCCGTCGCGTCTACTGTATGTCTGAACGCTATAAACTCAAAAACTACCGAACCTAATTTCATACGGTTTTAACCAATAGATTAAGTGACTCATGAGGAAGGTTTAGGTGTATAATTCATTAAGGTTTTGTGTATATTGGCTCAAATATGACGATGATTGTTAAAGATATCGGAAAAATCATGCCGACTGGGAGCTTTATAGGCGTGCGTCGCGTAAACTAATAAAGTTATATGAAAACAATGTATTACAGAATTATTCCTCTTAAAAACATCTATACATATAATAAAATTGTAACGAAGCCGAATCTGTACATTAAATATTTTTTGGAAAATCTTATTGAAATAGATATTATTATCGATAGAGAGGCAGAATCTATAGTTTTTAGAATTTTTGTTTGTCTGTCTGTCTATCTGCGTGTCCGCATCACAGAAAAACCACTGGAGGGATTTTGATGAAATTTTGTATGGTGATAACTGGTTATCAACATATAGGATACTTTTTACCGCGGGAAAATGTCTCATTTCTGAGAAAAAGTACAAAAACTGCAATGTAAGAGTATAATAATATGTAAATCCTAAGAATTTGATTTTCGGTCATCTGAACGCGGGCGGAGCCGCGGGCAGTGCTAATCTTCCTATAAAACTATAGCAACTATAGGTACGCACTCGAGCGAAGCGTGGGCAAATCACTAGTTGTTTATTTATACTATGGTCTTTGTTTGATTTCAAGACAAAATTACGGGATCATAATAACAGTGCATCGTACCAGTCCGGTAGACTGCAGGACTTATTTAGCAGTTAAATCTAACATATGCTAAATTGTTGCCTAAAAGGTCGCCAACCTTAAGAGACGAACGGGCCAGACACTGAATCTGTAGACCGCCTAGTTACCGGAGTGTAACGCACGTTACAGTAACAATATGTATACAGTATATTGTATATATAATAGAATTTATTATTTTGAAAGCTAAATTCACCGTGAACAATGGGGAAAATTAGCATAGATACGGAAATAATAATATAACAGAATATGCAATCTTCGTCGGTAATTCTGTAATTTCGGTTAGGAAAGGCTGGGAGGATCAAAAAACATGTACCTCTAAGATTTAATTTTATACTAAATAGAAGTGTCTGAGAGTGGTTTGCGTTTTGATACGAGTATGTAGGCGGTGAGTTCTATGCCTGTACGGGAATAATGATTTTTTGACCGATTTCAAAGAAGGAGGAGAAGGCACTCAATTTGGGTGTATATTTGTGTGTGTATGATAACACATCGGCGTAAATATCTTCGCCAAATGTAAGCCGACTTTAATAATTTGTTTTTTTTTTAATTATTATTTGGTTATATTCACCTGATGGATGGTCCTATATTTTAAGGAAAATATTCCACTCTCAAGCGCGGAGTAATTATATTTAAAGGTGTACTTTTTTATGTAAAAAAATATTATGTTTGTCTTTTGTTATCTTGTTTATCCAACAACCACTTACCACGCATGAGGCATTGATTTTAAAATTGCTAAAGAATAATGTTTACCATTTTGTCCATATGTGTCCAGCAAAAATACAACGTACATACTGCTGTTGTATTCTCATAATTTTATTTCTGTTTAAGTACATACTAATAAATAATGTAAATTAAATGATAAATAATGTAAATTAAATAATGTTAAAAAAGTAAATAATGTAAATATTATCTTCTTATTTCAGATGACAGCAGCAGAGAAAAAGTTAAGACAGAACATGAGGTAAGTCACAACTTTAAGGACATTTCTGTACTCACTACAAAATTTGGTTATATTCGTAGTCGCAAAGGAGAAAAACGAGGTCGGTATCTTTGTGTTGCCTTAAATGTTAGAATTTGACTAATATATTATATATCTTGCAAAAAAAAACGTGACGAGATAGGTCGGTCATTCGCAAATATGGACTTGCAACGCGGATCTGTGTAGGTATAGGTTATATATTTTTTATGTATATGTAAACGAATATAGTAGTTAGTGGGTGTGTAATTATACAGTGTCGTTAGGTAAGATTAGATATAATTTGGGCGAAGTTAGGGCTTGGTGATCACATCGACCTAATTATGTTATCTGACTACATCATGTTTGTGCCATCTAATCATAACTTAAGATTAAATATTATTTATCATACCTTTAAAAACGTTTTATTTTACATTTTTATTGTTATATACCATTTTGCGTATAGGTACATGCATGCATACCTAAATGTCTTTGGGAAAGAGAAAATATCTATTAAATATATTTCGCAATTAAACTATAAAAAGCTAAACAATCAATCGGAGACCTCGTATTGCTTGAAACGGCAATAATTCATGTTAATATTCAGTACATCTTTAGAAAACGGTTAAGTTGAAATTTAAATAACGCTTACGCATAGAAATTCATTATATTGAAGATAAAAATATTTATATGTAGGGAATATTTATATATGGCAGAAGGCAGTATCATCCAGACGGAGACTTCTTTAAAGTTAACTTATAAATATTTATTTAACAGATAAAGTGTATCATTATGTAATAATAATACAATCAATTATTATAGGAAAGTAAAATCAATGCAAGTTGTAAGTTTATACGGCGCGCTGCCGAGGCGTCGTAATCGATATTTATGATCCGACCACACACTCTATCTCGAGGATGCATCCGAAGATTTAGTGCATTTACGATCGATGTTTCAGCGCTGAATTCCGTTTCATTTTGCGATGAGAATGCTTTTTAAGAAATTTATGTACGACTAGCATTTCCCGCGGCTCCGCGCGCGTTCAAATGACCAAAAAACAAATTCTTAGGTTTTATATATTAGTATTCATCATAATCCCTCTAGTGGTTTTTCTGTGATGCGGTAACAGACAGACAAACAAAAATTCTAAAAACTAGATTCGGCCTCTGTATCGATAATAATGTCTATTTCAATAAGATTTTCCAAAAAATATTTTAATAATTTAATGTACAGATTCGGCTTAGTTACAATTTTATTATATGTATAGACTACTTGGCATTTGAGTTTGTATGTTTTGTTATGAGATAAATCATAAATATTATATTTATACACATTGAATGAAACATATGAATTTTCACATAACTATGTTTCAAATCAAAGGATTTATTTCAGCAGCTGAAATAATCTAAATCATCTTCGCATATACTTTATATCATAGAACTATGTACATACTATATAAAACTTACTTCTTACTAATATTATAAATGTGAAAGTTTAGATGTTTGGATGGATGTTTGTTACTCAATCACGCCAGAACGGCTGAACGGATCTGGTTTCGCACAGGAATAGATTATAGTATGGAGTAGGCTTCTTTTTATCCCGGAAAAATGTACGGTTTTCGTTAGATAGATTTGTTTTTTTTTAAATTTAATATAGCATTTATATCTCACTATAACACGTTTTTTTGTATGGCGTTGTTACGCGCACACTTATAGGGTTTTTATAGATATGTAAATTATTCAAAATCTAGTTTTCTCAATTCGAGTTGAATTTTTAGTACTGTAATAGATACTTATTATATATTATATAGTAGTCTATATTGAAAACTTATTTAAATAAACTAACATATTACTGTTATTCCACAATAAGGATTTTAGCAAAATAACTTTTATTTCAATGAAATGGAACATTATTTCAAAGTTTCGAGACTCCGTAGAGATACATTTAACAAAGCCTTCAGTCACTTTGGTGGTCGATCAGAGTCGCTGTGGGAAATCCTTTAGTGCAGGCGATAATGTAATTGATTGCAATATGTAGCTGGGCACACTGTTTTTTTTTCTAGTCGACCCCCAAAATTAACACAGTCAGTGGGACACCTAAGTCTACATACATACACAATATGTGTTTCCATTTTTTAATTTTAATAGAAAGTAGACCGTCAAAGACAGACACACGAGTGATTTCATATGGGTATACAATTTCTTAAATTGATATCTATTGAGCAGATATTTGTATCGATTTAGCGTTTAAAGCGCACCGTTCACTCACGTTTATAGTTAACTTCTAATATATCAAATACTTTCGAAAGTGAAGCCTTCTCATATAAAAAATGTATGTATGCAAAAATTATAATTCGGATTACTTTAGATATTAATTAGATTGACAGTAGAAAGTGCACATCATACACTTATTTTTGTAAAGTTAATTATGGCAGTGTTTTTGCTTGTACTAAAAGAAACGTTTTCTTTCGCCCTATATAAGATTTGTTTTTTGTGCATCAGATTTTTTGCATATTTTCCTAACCAATAATACGAAATTTTAAATCGGGTCATTGTTCAAAAAAATTGAAAGACTATTTAGACGTTGGTATAAATATTACTTATCATGAAATTATATAGATACTAATGTTAGGACGTGTTCTATCTGTTAAACCACATTATGTTCGAAAATTGAGCACAATTCGTACTCTATTGGCGCTAGAAAGTTGATTGATTTTGAGTATCGACAATAAATAAACAATTACTGTTATAATTATTATCCATTATATATTATGTAAATACAAACATTAGTGATTATTTTATGACTTTCCTAAATGGAGGAATCTTGAGGAGTCCTGAGGGAGGAGTGAGTACTTACACTTACATAACTCATTGTCCTTAAGGCGAGGAATCGTTAATGCAACTAGTTCTCAAGGATACGCGCAATCAGAGTTCAATCACACAGTTTGCGGTGAATGAAATGTAATCCAGCCAAATAGAGTTGAATGTACCTAGCAACATTATAACAAGCACGTTAAAGACTTTATAAAATGGTCGTCGTGTACAGAGCAGGAACATTGCAAAGGAAACAACACGATCCACACCCGCTTGGTTACTTTTTCCGATACAAATCGATCGGGCGAAAGTAAATCGATTACTCGTAACCATATTTTCATTTGCCCCCTTTATCATTTGTCCGCCTTCCCACTGATCACTGGTATTTATCATACATTTTAAATTAGAATGCTTTACATAATAAATTAGAATGCCACGATTTATGATGAAAATATCATATTTGAGTACTTTTATTATCGTCTTGATAATAAAATGATTATAACAATTACAATGCAAAATTACATTACATTTAAAAAAAAAAGATTTATAGGTTCTATTCCAGAATTAGCTATTTCTAATAGTACATATGTATTAATATATGTAGGGCTAGTTTCATTTATGTGATTGCAATAACATAAGTTAAATAAATTACAATTAATTTATAATAAATTCCATTTGAATACGAGATACAGTAAACGTCTTAATATCTTAGTGTAATTGTAGCAAATGTCAGGTCTATATCTTAATCTCATACCATGATAGAGAAGTAAAATTTGTTTGTTTGTCACTATATTTTATAAAACAAAATCGCGCCTGTATGTCTGTTTGTCTGATTGCAATAAACTCAATAAGTACCGAATAGATTCATGAGGAAGTTCTAGTTGTAGAATTCATTGACGTTTTGTGTAAATTGACTGAAATAAGATGATGATTGTTGAAGATGTCAGAAAAAAATCATGCCGCTTGGGAGCTTTACTGGCATTCACCGTAAGCCAAAAGAGTTATATGTAAACAATGTATAACGGAATTATTCCTCTTAAAAAGATCTATTAAGTAGTACCTAGTAACGCTTACACACTTAGGGAGGTCGCTAGTACATAATATGTGTATGTCTTGTGGGGATCTAGACTCAACGACCGCGGGCACACCGGTGTTACAGTTAACAATGAATTTCTTAGAAATTTAATTAATTTCTTAGAAATTTACCTGAAGGAGCCATGTAACGAAACTAGCAAATCCTTCATTTATATAAAGTTACACTGTACCTTGGTAACATAGTCTATTTTTATCGACGTACGACACGAGCGGAGTCGTGGGCGAAAACAAGTTATTTATAAAGTGAGCTTTTAGTTAATTATCGACTTTATATTAAACGAGTACCGTCGTCTGTTACTGATGGGACCAGTTCACAACTGGTTTGTACATTAGCTATGACATAGAAGCCTTATTAACCGATTAAATACAATGTTTGGCTACGAGCTATTAGCATCGCATCGACGGTTATTGCCTGTAACATTATAATCCCAACGCTTACGACTTACGACGTTTGCGTACAGTATTACCGACTTAATTTTTAACATTAATCAATGTTAATCGTGATCACGTGGACAGTGTACATAAATTTTATAATATACCAGCGACTCACCTTCGTTTCGCTCAGGGATGAATGGTTTAAGAACGTATAGAGGATAAATAAAAGAAAAAAAAACAAGGATAAGATTTCGCAGGCGTATACAAAATAATATACCTAATAAAGTTTTATTATAATCAATTGCATGGCTTAAGAATGCATAGAGAACAAACATACAAGAAACATTCATTGTTATTTACGTAGATGTATGTACGTGTGTAGCCATTTATTATTCGATTTTTTGTGATGTGTCAAATGGAATTTAGATTTTTTCTATTTAATTTTTATGGGGCTTTCATTTCATGAAAATCGTTCAAACTTCTTATACAGTTTGTTCAAGTCTATAGTAACTTGAAAAATTTGTCTATTAAGTAACCTAAACTAAGTTTCATATTGGACTTATGCATTTGCGCGCTTACACAATTTTTTGTTTTTAATCAGCTGATGGTGACATTGTGATTACAAATTATGTAACGCTAACATCCGTTACGATCTGCATCCTCGTTCAAATTGCTTCCTGTAAAACAATAGAAACAAGTTTTTAAAATCTCATTAATTTAGTT